CAATCATTTTGGCTGGCGGGAAAAACCGCTTCACTACCATTTAATAATAAAATTACACACAATTATAACCAAAGTTTCAATTTGCCTCAAATAATTGAGGTTTTAATGGAAAAAATCAAAAAAAAAACACGAGAAATTCTAACGGACATGTGCAGCGCCCATTTTCCGCTTCTAATAATTTACATAAAATTATCCGTCTTACATTGTTTTTATTGACCAATATTAATAAATTGCTTCGTTTATTTTATAAAAAGTTTCAAAAAGCAAGTATGACGAAATAACGACTTATTTATCGATTGCTTGACAGGCACTTGAAAAACCGCTGGGAATGGATGCACTCACGTTCAGTTGGTGAGTAAGTCCAAAGTGCTTTTTTTCAGTTTGGCTTTGAAATGCATTTCTGAGCGAATGAGGAATCCAACAAGAGGGGGTGTGAAATAAAGGTGCAGTCTGTCTTTGCTGAGAGACATTGAAAAGTGGTCTATTAAAAACACGTGCTGGCCTATATATTTACTATGTTGCTCGAGAGGTAATCGATTTGACTGTTGAGTATTTGTTTAATGGATGATTAAAAAATTGAAAAAAAAAATATTAAGGAGTGAAAGGGGGTGTGAAAAAAAAGGTACACTCACGGGTAAGTGTTTTCGAGTTTTTTATTTCTGCAAAAAATTAAAAAAATATTTAATAAAAAGTTCATTTTATTTGATAAATTCTGAGTTGTTTTTTGGTTATTTTGGCTTCAAAGAACAGTTTGGAAGTCAATCTTTCTTGCTCCTCCTTTTATCATTCGGCAAATCCGGCCTTTATTTTACATAAAAAATAATTCACAAATTTCAATAACAAACATCGGCATTTTGAAAAAGTAATAGATATTCTTGTAAACCTTGTTTTTTTGAATCAAATTAAAAAAAAGGAAAAAATAAAATATAGAAAAAATATAATCATATTATCATTTAACCATTAAATTTTCAAAAGCGGGTTTTTTCCATTCCTTTAGTCAAACATTGATTAAAGACCAACATACTTTTTATATATTTATATTTTAAATTTAGTTATATTGAAACACAATAATATTTTTGACATATTGTTTCAATTTATAATATTTATATTTTAAATGAAAACGAAATAATGTTATAAATAATAAAAATGTTTAAAATTACTAAAATTATGTTAAAATGGGTGTATTTTTTAATTTAATGTTTTGTGTTATTGTTTATTTTTACTTTTTGTTATAATAAACATCGAATTAACTTATTAATAAAAATATAAATCTAAATTGTTGTTTATTTCTATTTTAAATAACAATTGAACTATTGTTGAAAAAATGTACCTTTATTCGTTGAATATTATTTTCAAGAATATTTTATACCAACACCAGTTTTATCGAGAAATTCCAAAAATTCGTTATAGTTCTTTTTAATGACCAAATACTCAGAATAGATTTTCCCAATCTTTCTGTATGACTTCGATATAATACTTTTGTTCTTTTTTACGTTTTATTAATAAATAATGCATCCCTTGATTTATTTTTTACTTTAATGTTGTCTTATTAAGTTCTTGTTTTGAATATAAACAATGATGTTCTTAAATTTTTCTATGCTTTGCAACAAACTCAAATTTTTGACTCAATCAATATCATCATATAAATACAACACCAATGAAATATATTCTTTGTTCTTTATCGTCGATTCAAATTTGACATATTTCAATGTGTTAATATTGACATTCTTTAATGAAAATAATCAAATTCCATCGCATTTTGTGACACTTGATCACTTAACAATGGGATGTTTTGTGACATTTGATTCACTAAAATTTTAATCGACATATTCTCCTCAAACATATTCAAATTGCCTATTGTAGTTTGTGCAAACGATTTAAATCTAACACTCTCGTATTCATTACATTCAATATCTTGTTGATTTGTGTAGATGTTTCTCAACTTTTCTTTGTCATTCACAAAGTTTATAAGACTCTCTCCGTTTTACTGAAATCATTAAATACATTTATTCAACAATCAATTTCGAATCATTTTCAGTCATCTGATTGACATACACTGATGTATATTTGTGTATAAATGATTACGGCAATCTATTTCTTCCACTCCCTTCTTCAAGTGTATTCTAACTTGCAAACAGTCTAAATGTGAATGGACATTTACTTAAGCGTTGAAATCCGGTATATATACAGTCGCTCGGTGATCCAACAACTAATTAAGACCTTCCAAAACACTTTGTGGCGCCAAGTTCATTGAGTAACAATCGTGATCTACTTTTCATTGTTTTCAGTAACAATCCACAACATTATCCAAATCCTCCACTATTTTCTTTAAGTGGGAAATCTGGTCCAAATAAATCTTTAATGTCTGTGTGTTCGAATAGATTGATTCTAAAGAATGTTATGTTCAACATTGATGACAGTATATCTATTATCGTCGTCTTTCTAACTCCAGGAAATCCTTCCATTAATATCGATTTATGTACATTAACGCTCTCAATAAATGTAGTATGTTGTTAGTAGTAGTAGTTGGCGCCTCCACGCAATTATTGTCTTGTTTTTTAATTGGACCATTTGATAGTGAAGTCTGATACATCATCGTTGTTTAATCCAACACCAAAAGTTGGTAGCATCTACATTTTTACATGTTTTCATTTAAAGAATTGTGTAATTGAGTGTTCCTTCTGAGGGTCCTTAAGCACTTGGACTAACTTCTTTAAATAACTTGGTGGAATCCGACTTTTTTTCAATAATAATTATTAGTTTATTTCAGTATTTTGTCAAAGTGTAATTCGATAAATTAATTTCTAAATGCTCGTGATAATTGTTTTCCTTCTCCATATGTGTGTTGAACAAAATTCTTTTTAATATTGAAATTTATTTTTTAAGAAAAAATTTAGTTTTTAACTCAACAAAAGGAACAGTTTCGAGAACAAAATATTTCATTGTTGTTCACCAAAATGATTGGCCAGTTGTGCAACAATTAAACAAGTTCGACAATTATTATTACGAAAAATAGACACCTTTCACTGTATACAAAAAATGATATTCCAAACAGTGTCTCCGTCATTGAAAGTCGGTGTTTTTGTAATTGTATCAATTTGAAGAATGTCGTCTTACCACAAAATATCACAAGACTGGGCTTGTCGTGTTTTAGTATGTGCACAAGTTTATCAAACATCATCCTTCCAACCCATTTAAAAATCATTGGCGATTACTGTTTTGAAAAGTGCACTTCCCTCGATATTGACTTACCAACAACATTCACACACATCGGCATAAAGTGTTTAATTGATTGCAAAAGTGTTCATATATTGATAATAATAATAAATTATGTCCTCTTGTTTATTAATTATTAATAATTTTATTTATATTATTATTGTAATTGTTATTATACTAATAAATATAATAGTTAATTTTAATAAATAATAATTATAATTTAATAATAAATAATAAATAAAATAAAAAGACTTTAGATTCCTCATTCAATATATAGTTTTTTATACCATTTATTTAGAATGTGTATAGTTTGTACGACGACAAACACAAATTCTGGCCGAAAAAAATACGAAATTAACACTTCAAACCACCAGTTGAATCCGGTTTGCAGACCTAAATAATAATACCCAATTTTAATAAATTAACATTAATTGTAATACATTAATAATTGTAATTATTTTAATTTTGATAAATAATAAATACTAATAATAAATAATAAATAAATAATAAATAAATAAATAAAAATAAATACAGAATTAATAGATTCTTCTTCTTAAACACACAATTTAATAAAACAACAAACTTATAAAAATGAAATAAAAAATGAACAGCGCTGCGTCTTACAATCCACTCACAGTCCCAACTGCGCCCCTCATTGAAAGTCAAACTGATCAACAAGTCCCTTTTCAACAACAGCAATACCCAATTCAGTCTGCTCAATATCAAGGACCAGCTTATTCAGAATATCAACCCCCACAATATCAACAAAACTATAACCAAAGTACACCAATCTTTGCGCAACAAACAGTCGAAGACAACAACACACTCAACGTGAAATACAACAAAATCTTCATCATTTTGTTTGCACTTGGATTTCTGTTTGTGGTCCCGTGGTTGGCCGGTTTCATCATATCGAGAAAAACAACAAACAAGACAGTCAGAGTACTCGGGTGGGTGTCACTCCTTTTGTTTTGGGTAGTCGGTGTCATACTTTGCTTCATACCAGCAATGATTATTTAATACTTTTAATATTTTTGATTTTGTTGTTGTTTGTTATTTTTATGTAAATAATATAAAAATAAAAATTTGATGTTCTCATTCTATTTTAACACAATAAATAAACATTGTAACAAACAGTGTTTTTATATTTTAAATATATTGTTGTTGTTTTAATCAACTTCTGTGATAAAACATTAAATCAAAAACATAAATTTGA